TCTTAGTCATTTGACATAAAAGTGTTAAGTTCTTAAGTCTATACTTTTTTAATTGTCTATTAGGTACCTTAAATAGACCCTAGAATGTCTGGAAATCGGTAAGAATTTTGTTTATTTATTATTATTAATTTATTAAAATAGCACCTTCTGCATAATTCATTTATGTATAATTATTGTACATACCTTTAACTTATAAGCTATAAGTAAAGATTTAGAATTTACATTTTCAGCATTAAGGTGAATAAAGCAATGTCGTATAAATTATTTTTTGTTTTGTTCATTCTAAGATTATTTATGAATTCATATTTTTAGGACATTAAAAAATTGTAAAGACTTAACGGAACGGCAACGTAGACGTAGGATAGTTAATGATTTATTGCATATTGATCAAGATTTGAATACTCCAAACAGTTTGGTAAACAATATTGATACCGTTTCAACTCCTTTATTTTGTCCTGTTTTAATAGAATCTTTTACAATTAGCACTGAACCTATGGTTTTATTATCTGTTTCAAATGATATCGATAACGCAAATTTACATAATTTTTTTACACATAATACACCCTCTCGTTTTTATGAATTAGAAAGTACTAATTTTCCATTAGCTTTAAATGTAGAAACTGCATCCATTGAACAAAAAACTCGACCATTAATGAGTAATTTAATTGATGAATCATTGTCTATACATAAAAAGCTATGTGCTTGGGCTATTAATGAAAAAATACCTTTGAAATCTCTCTCTAGTTTACTTAAAATACTTCGATATCATAATAAAAATGATTTTAAAAGTCTTCCTCTCGATGCTAGAACTTTACTTCAAACTCCTCGGTCGACAGAAATTAGAAAGGTTCATCCAGGTTTATATTGGCACAATGGCCTAAAAAAATGTCTTTTAAAATATTTAACTGAAATTAATCAGTTAGGTAATGATTCTAATGAGAATTCTAGTAACCAATTACATTTAATTATAAATATTGATGGATTACCCATTAGTAAATCATCAAATAGTCAATTTTGGCCAATTTTAGGTATTATATTTGAAACTAATTATGTTTTTTTAATAGGTTTATATCATGGTTATGATAAAAAACCACTTGATACTCATGCATTTTTAGATGACTTTATTTCTGAAACTAATCAATTAATTAATAATGGTTTAACTTATAAAGGACAACAATATAATGTAAGAGTAAAAGTATTTTGTGCTGATGCCCCAGCAAAAGCTTTTATTTTGAATGTTAAACATCACAGTGGTTATTCTAGTTGTTCTAAATGTGATGTAGAAGGTGCATATATAAATAATAGAGTGTGTTTTACTGATTTTATTGGTAACAAAAGAACTGATATAAATTTTTAAAGCATAAAGATGCTGATTACCATCAAGGAACAAGTCCTCTTGAAATGTTACAGGATTTTGGACTTGTAAGTAATGTTCCTTATGATTATTTGCATTTAGTTAATTTGGATGTATTTAAAAAAATGATACATTTATGGCATAATGGTCCACTGCACGTTCGATTATCATCTCAAAATATTAAACAAATATCTGACACTCTTGAGAATATCAGACAGAATATTCCATTAGAATTCCAAAAAAAACCACGATCATTGTTATACTTTCGGCAGTGGAAAGGCACTGAATTTCGATTATTACTTTATTATACTGGACCTATAGTATTTAAAAATGTATTGCGAACAGATGTTTATGAAAATTACTTAACTCTTAACATTGCTATGACGATTTTGAGTTCTAAAATGCATTGCAAAAATCCACAATTCATTAATTATGCTAGGAAATTATTATCACACTTTGTTACTAAATTTAAATTTCTTTATGGAAGCCATAATGTTAGTTATAATGTACATGGGTTGTTGTATTTAGTTGATGATGTTGAACAATTTGGACCCGTAGATAACTTTAGTGCGTATAGATTTGAAAACTTTCTAGGCAAACTTAAAAAAAAAATCCGTAAAGATGATAAGCCATCACAACAAATAGCTAGATGCTATGCAGAAATAGAAACCAATTTGAAAATTGATAGTTTAAAAATAATAAATAATAATGAAATAAAGTTTAAAAAAGAGCATAGTCAAGGACCTATTCTTAATGGATTTTTAATAAAAACTCAATTTAAAGAAGCACACTTTTATGATTTCACTTTGAAAGTTGATGATTCAAATAATAATTGTGTTTGTATTAAAGAAAATGTAATTGCTGTAGTTAAAAATATTGTGTATGATAGTGAAACAAAACAATATTTTTTAATTGGAAAAGAATATTTGGAAATGCGGGACTTATATACTGTACCCTGTCAATCATCACTATTAAATATATATAAAGTAAATAATTTGTCTAATAATTATAAAATGTGGTCAATAGATTCAGTGACATGTAAATATTTTTGTTATGACATACCTGGAATAAATTCCATTGCTGCATTTCCTATACTTCATACCGAAAAATGTAATTATTAAAAGATTTATGATTTATTGATTACCTAATTATTATTCATGATTTATTTCCATTACATTCCTACATTTATTTAATAACCGTCTAATTAATTGTACTCCATACTTAATAAATTCCTATATTTTTCTTATTTCTTTATTCAATTATACATTGCTGAATATTATTAAACATAGATGTATTCTAAATTGTAAAAATTATGAAGTAAATTTCAATTGGTAAGATAATAATTAATAGTTTAAAAGATATAAATGATAAATAAAAATAATATTATTGATTTTTTAGCAAATTTCAAGTAGTTGAATTTGATGACGGTCTCCAAGTTGTCCCTATAAGTTGGTTGACAAAAGATTTTAAGAAATGTGTGTATCCTATTCATGTAAATAATTCAAATGATTATAATAAAATGGTGTCTAAAATGTTTTTACCTAAAAAGTCATGGCCTAGTTTGAATGTATTGAAAGTGATTGGTTCAAGTAGTGAGATTTTTAAAATTATTACCTTTTAATATATTATATTAAAATAAGTATAAATGTTATTTGATGTTTTTGTTATTTAATTAATTTTTATTTAATTAGATGATTTTGGAAAAGCTAATAAAAAATTAAGTGATGCTGTATATTATAATTTATCTGAAGTAAACACCGAAAACGAAGATATACAAAAAAGTCAACGGAAATCTAGAGCCAGAAAATCTATACTTTCTAGTAGTGAAGATGAATTGGAACATTTTATTAAATTGGCAGATGAATATCCAACACCTCCAAAGAGACAGAAAGACCAACCAAGTATGACAATCATTTCAAAACTTAATTAGTTATCATATTAAATTAACCTATAATTATAATAATTAACCAAAATAATTTTACTGTAAAAAATACTACTTAGTGGTTATAAACGTACCATCATCACATTCAAAACTACATAAAAAATACAAAGAAAATTCAAAATCACTTCAGGATACTGGTTACTGTTCTTCTAAAACTCAAGGTAGTTAAAATTAATTTAAAATAAATTATTTATTGTTTGATTATTAATATTATCATTGATAAAAAAATGTACAATGAAATAATTTTACAATTTATTTTTTATTATTTTTAGCCATATTTTTGTCTCCCACTAAGTCATCACAAATATCACATTTGAGTAGAAATACAAAATCGTTTCAGAATACTCAATGTAGTTCTTCTTATGATCAAGGCAAATTAAATATAATTTATAAACACTAATATAATATGTTTATTTCTTTTCCAATAATAAGATTGTTTATTTTATTTTCAGGTGCATCATCATTGAATAAACCGTCAATGGATGACAGTATCGATATGTATTTAGAACCTATTGTACATTCTCCAATTCAATCACATGGTAAATTGTTTGATTCATATAGTCTAGGTTTCAGCTTTATAATTTATTATTATTCAATAATTATTTTTAGCTCAAACATCATCTCAATCAACTTCAAGTGATGAAAATATAATTAACAGCTCACCAATAAAAAATAATTTTGATTTATAAATATTTTAAATTAGATAAATTGATCTAGTTAATACATTATTGCTATTTAGGGCGTAGAGATAATTCAACTCCATTGCATTCAAATGAAATATTTATACTTTTCCAACAAACACATTATGCCATATCTTATAAATTATAAGTTCATAAAAGTATATTATTACTTTTAAACTTGTAATTTACAATAGAAGCTATTATAATATAGTTAAACATAGATATTTGATAATCAGATGATTTTGAATCTACATTAGATAATTAAATTAATTTTATATTAATAATTATGATTATTAATATAATGTTTGATTTAAATTAATAGCTTAATGGGTTTCTTTGTCTATGATAATAATGAAATGAAAAAATATTATTAAGTTTTGATAATTTTAAAATAAAACATGGCATTTTAATTCGATTGTTTTTTCAAGTACAAATTGGATCTTTTACTAAGGAAAAAAAAATTATTATTATTTTTTATTACTATTATTATATTTAATTATTATTTTTGTTAAAAGAAATAAACATTTAAAACTATAATTACACAACCCTCTAAACATAAATATTAAAAGTTAATTATTTCATTAATCATTAATGACATTTTATATAATGTAAATAATCTAATAAAATATATTTTATATAAAAATACTAATAAAATCATGTTGTCTTATAAAAAAATGCTATGTTTTTGGTGATATAGTTTATCTAAAACTGTTGTACAATTAGTTAACATAAATTGTAAATGTATTTAAAATTTTCTCAACATGGCATAAAAGAATCCTGTATTTTTTCTTAACATGTCAGTATACATACTACAAAACTGTTTCTGAATTACATAATTATTTATATTTTAGGTGATTGGGTGTCCAAATCGTTAAACCATATTATGCGTTTAAATGCTCATTTAAAAATGCAAAATTGTATGATATTAGAAAATCAAAAAGAAATTCTAGCTTGTTTATCTGCAGGCGTTCAATCTTCAGATATGTCTGAACTTACAACTATTCCTGAACAGTTTTCTAATCAATTCGCTGAATATTTTCTATTGAGTAATAAAGAAAAAGTTTTGGAAGTTGAAGATATGTTGCTTAATAATGAATTCAAAATAAATTTTGTATGTATTCAATGTTCTTTAATTATTTAATTAATTTTTTTATTTAATTATTTAATTTATTAATATTCAATAACACATTCAAAAACATACCTAGTGCATTTTGACTCTTGATTTTAGATTCTGAGTGAAACGAATTGGTTTTACTATTAATCTGTGTGTGTTTTTATTTGTATTTTTTATGTTTGTAATTACTTTTTCGGGTAGAAATACTAGACGCACAAAGAATTTCAATTTTACTAGGTTTTGAGTGAAAAAGTATGGATGTTTTACTAGAACAAAGAAATAAATACTTTTATGGAATTGATTAGAGTTTATTAGTCATAATTCCAAAAATAATAGTGATAGAAACTTGAAAATTTTGTCGGATCCCAAACGGTTCGCTTATTTCCAAATGGCTCCCGTCGCTTTTTTTCATATAATTTTAATAATTTACATAGTGTACACCAAGACATTTTTAACCAAACCTCATTTGAGATAGTCCTAAGCCTGTATAATGTGGGAAAGAACTTGTGTTGTAAAAAACCTGAAATTAGAAATTTACCGGTTTGTTAGACCTTTTTGGACGGGAGCCTTTTGGGAATTGACCTTTTTGTAAAACGGGAGCCGTTAAGAGATAAATCATTGTATTCAAATATAAAGTACCATACAACTAAACTGTCGTAAGCCAGGTGATCCCATAATAGATAGTGCTCTACACTCATCACCATTGTCTTGTCCGAGGAGTGAAGCGACTAAGGATTAACGTCCACCACCATTATCTTACCAGCTTGTTAAACATACATTTTTGAACTTTGAATAGTGAATAGGTATCTTAAGTTTAATCCCTTAATAGACAATTTAAATATTCATAATTAACTCATAAGAGTAACGATAAGTCAAAATTTATAATTGAATATTTATTAATTAGGTTAATTTTATGTTTTTCTTTTATTGCTCTAATAATGTAATTAATTTTATAGATCAAAAGAATAAAAACATTTGGAGGAACAGATGTTGCACATTTTATTAAGACTTGCCTTCAGAAATTGATTTCAAATGAACTATCAACCCAAATTCTTTTACTGGAAAGGCGTTTAAAAAGTCGTCTGATCCAAAGATGGCCTTGATCAAACTTAAACTGTTTCAAGTCATATGTGGTATTTATTTTATTAAATCAAAGTTAGAAAGTAACTTTTTGACTGATGTATTTTTTATTCTTTACTGTTATATTTTAGATGTTGGAAGAAACCTTTACCCAAGTTACACTAATGACATGGTTCAAAAATCTGTTACTGGATGGTTACGTCACTCAGTTGACAGACTTCAGAGTCAAATTCAAAAACAACAAAATAATGACTAAAAATTTATTAAATTGTATAATTATTTAATTATTTTCTTTTAAATAAATATAATATTAGGTATTAAATATTTTGTTTTTTTTAGTCAAGAAACTTAAACACACACATACACAAACATATAATGTAGTTTGAAATAAATAATGAATGAAGTTTGGTATTGTATATAGCTACCATGAAGATCCATATGGTTTAAATTTTTGTTTTTATTTAGACATAGATAAAAATTTGAGGGATACAATATGCTGAATGGCGACCATTTCCAATATTTATATGCTATTCAATTTGTGCAGTGAATGAACATTTTGATATTTTAAACTCAGTGATATACAAAAACTGATTAAGTAGTTTTATTAGGAATTCCAATTGGAACTTGACTAGAATTCCAATTAAATGTAACTAAAAATTATATGGGAATTCCCTATGGAATTTCTTAGCATTTCCCAAAGGAATTCCATAGGTGCGGACATTAGGAATACTAGAGGAATATGTAAGGACTTCCTTTTTTATTCCTTCAAGTTTCATCTGAAATTCCTTGGGAACTCTCAAGGAATTCCTTTGCTATTAGGGAAATTGTTACCCAAAGATGCACTTACCGCTGCTCATTTTATTAGATTAATCAATGAATGGTTTTTATTAACATCAAGCAAATTACGGAAAACATCAATAACCCAAAGAAACAAAGAAAAAAAATATGATTTCCTTCAGAAATTGATTGGAATAGTTGAACAGATTGAGTTTGGTTTAAATGGATAGAAAACCTTTGAATGTTGGTTTCATTATGTCTTCATTATCAATTATTGAAACGAGTGAGCTATTATTTGTAATGAATTTGATTTTATATTGTGCCATCGTTTCACCCAAGATGCGGTTGAAAATATTTTTTCTCAAATGCGTCGTAAGGCAGGGCAAACTCCAAATGCAATTCAATCCTTCAGAGCACTCAAAATTATACTGATGTCACAGTATGTTTCTGATGTAAAACGAAGCAATTACATGAACGACAGTGATGAATTTTTATTAAATTACTTTAAAAAAGTTCCCGAAAACTTCAATAGTACTTCTATCGATATACTACAACCAACTTATAATGTTAAACCTGTAGAATTATTAGATTATGTAGAGAATATTCCTGAGGCATTAAAAATTCTCCCTGAATATGATATGAATATTGTATTTCATTTGGTTGGCAGTGCTACAAATACAATATTAAAAGTATCTTGCAATACTTGTTATATGTTCATGTGCAACATCACAGAAACTGTCAATTTTCCTGAAAAATACAAGTTTTACACAAAAGCATTAAACAAAGGAGGATTGAAAGAACCTTGTGCTAATACTGTACTTTTAATGTTTAATTGTGAATTAATCTATAGAAAATACAAAAACCACTTTTTACATAATTCAAATTCTAATATTATAGATGAAATAAGTAATAACATGAAGATTAATTATCCACACTGTGGAAAAAATTGCAATGTCAAACATAAGCTTATAAAACATTATTTTACTGTTAGATCTTATGCAACTTGTAATTTATCCGTTTGTAGAAAAAAAAATGTATATATGGAACAGCATCCGAAAAGAAGAAGTAAAATTAAATTAAACCTAAGCCAATTTATAGTTTTTTATATCATATAATATAATATTGGTTTTTATTTTATAGATTATAATAATAATTTTTGTTTGTTAAATAAATGAGGCCTTATCTTACTAATAAATACAGTCATCAAGCTCAGCGATGCAAAATGTTATTTGGGGGTCACCAATAATTTAAATAGTAAATTTATATTATACACTTATATAATGTTGGTAGGAAGAAGTGGTCGTATTATCAAAATAAATAATTTTGGGGGTCGTGGATCAAAAAAAGGTTGCATACCACTAATCTAGCTTGTTCCCCAATTTCATATTCCTGAATGGAGATCACTTAGATTTGAAATAGTTAAGGAATAGATCCATGTTATTTTTTCTAAGACTCAGTTTTTTCATTTCTAATTTTAAATTAGTTATTTCCTGCTCAGTTTTCTGTTTGTAATTATTGCAGTCATGATTGTTTTCCTATAAAAAATTAAACAAAAATTATATTGCATAGAAATCAGATATAAAACATTAAGAAGTTATTATTCCTTCATTAATTAATTTATAATTGATAAACTAAATAAATAAATCAACATTCATTAATCATATTCTACAACTACTATTTGGTATTAATTTGTTAACTGTTGAATATATTTATCGCAATAAACATTAATAAGCTTTGTCAATTTTATATACCTTTTTTTGATCATTGTCCAATGTTGGCGTGGATGATATATTTTCATTAGCAGCAATCGTTTTATTTTCTGTAATCTGCATTGGATCATCAGATGTAGACAAACAAGCCATAATATATACAACAAAGATCTTTGTATAAATGAATTAGGTACTTAAAACTTTTATGATCTTTAGTTAAGTATTATAAATACTAGTATTTATAATCAATGGTATTAAGTGAATGGCATTATGCAGAAAGCAACCATCCTATAAATGTTCTATTTGTAGATAATTCAAGATATGAAAAAATATATTTTTTTTAATTGGTTAAGTAATAACTATTAACTAATAAACTAAGAAAGTATGAAATAACTCGAATAATTATTACATTTATAACATTATTGAATTATAGTTTATACATGTTTAATATTATTCTTATAATATCAAGATACGAAAAATAGGTTATAATCTTACAATCTTTTGCACACAAAATGGTGGATGCACATACCTGCTTCTACAGTGCTCTAGATACGGCTAAATAATATTTTTTAAAAAATGCTAGATATGACTAAAAAAAAAATAAAATAAAATGCTGTAAAAAATGTCAGAAAAAAATGATAAAAATGCAATAATAAATTATTTTATTATATAAATATGCAATATCAACGTCAACATAATAGGTATTAATAACAAAAACAATTTATATGCATTGGTTATTATTAAAGAAAGATTATATTGTGACCGTATTATTCACATTTTCAGACTTTTGAAAATTAAAACAAACTTATAACATAAATAAAACAATATTAAAGAATAATAATATAATAAATACATATGTAATATCATTATAGGTAATATTAGAAAAAACAAAAACAATATTTAAGTATATGCATAGTGAAATATTAAAAAAAAATTATATTGAGACCATTCACATTTTCAGACTTTTGAAAATTAAAACAAACTTATAAAGTAAATATAACAATGTTATTACTGGTATTAGGAGCATACATTGTTAAAGTAATTAAATTGGAATTATAAGTCTGTAAGGTACCTATTTTTTTTAATACATCTGGTGGAAATTGATATTTTAAGCAGCATGTGTTTCTTCTCCTTAGGCCAGATTTAATTGTAAGGATAGAGTTCAACAATTTTGTATCCATCTTATTACGGGTTTTTGTTTTTATTATATTCATTTGGCTAAAAAGCCTTTCAACTTCCGCATTGGACCATGGCAGCACTAATAGCTTCAACGCAAATTCGATTAATTCAAAAAATGGATTTGTGTCCGATGAATCTCTGTACATTGACACTTCATACCAAAATGAATGTGTATCAGTTTTTTCCAACCATTTAATATTAGTTATATTATTCCATTGTACATTTATTTTACCAATAGTTTCAATATCAATATCCATCATTTCCATGAGTGGTATAAGTGTATCTTTTATTACTTTGAGTGAGTTTGATACCGATAACAATGAAATATTTTCTAGGATATTAATGTTATGCGGAAGTCTTTGTTGTAATTGCTTACCTAGGTGTAAAATAAATGATACGTATCTATCTTTCACTAATTTTTCACTCTCAGGGTTAGTATTTGAGTCTTCTACAGTTTTTTCAAAACTACACCCTAGGTAAGGATTTAAATAATCTTCAATCCTTACTGTTAAGAAATCTTCCCTGCACATGGGTGTAACAATTTTTCTTACAGTAGATTTTACTAAATTTGTTAAATCACTAAGTAATTTACATGGATTTGCATTATTTGATTCGAATAATTTCTTAAAAATTTGCACTTCTTCAAGTATAGGCTTTAAAAATTCTTAAATAAGCTAAATTTTTACTATCTGAATACATTTCATATATAAATTCTGATGTGTACCATTTTTCCTTCAATCTAGTAATACCAAATAACGTCTTAAGCTCAAGCCATTGTTCCAAAATTCTAGAAATTATAGATTCTATGGATGGCCATCTTGTACCACAAGTCCTTACTATTTTTGCATGCGGCAGTTAAACCGTAAAGGTGATGATGTTTTTAGAAATATTCCAAATAAAATACTCAAACTAAATTAATCTGTTTATTAAAATTTCTCTAAGTACAGGTAATTTAATTAATTTGACAAATAAACTGGCGTGGAGGTGCTTGCTTATACACGTATAAAACACATCTGAATATTGGTCTATTCCCAATCCCCTTATATACTCAGGTCTCGTGGGAATTGGCCGCGCATTTTTATGGAATAAGTTATTTCCAATTATCGTTACTACCCTGAGGTGCTAAATTGTTATTTTAATGGTTGACCTCGATAATATTACTATTCGCACATTTCCCATATTTTGTTTTGCGCTATTATTAATTGCATTTATCATTGAAATGCTTGAGACTTGAGAGTATTCGTTTTACACTAGTGAATTTTACCGTTACCGTAGCACCCGTAAGATGAAATTGAATTTTGGGGAGGTTTGGGGGTTATACAAAATTTAATTTTGGTTGTACAAAATTGTATAAAATAAAGTACATAATACTGCTTGATTACAATTCATGATTTCGAAAGTACGGTTGCCGGGTTAACGCACTTTAAACATGTTGCATAATTGATACAGTGTGCGGGAAAGAGTTCAAAATATAAAATTTTAACAGTACTTTATTTATTAAAAAAAATATAAAACAAAACCAAAATTAACT